GCGACTCCTGAATGTATTGTGAGGACGTCCCGCGCGAGAGGCGCGATTTGGGAATACACTGTGGGGAAGCATAAGGCGGGAGCTGTTGTTTTTGTAGTTCGGGGGCCAGCAACGCAGTTTGAGGAGGAAGACCCCCCCTGGTATTTTTCCCTGCCTAGGCTCTGCCTAGAGGGTTCTTACTCGCTGGGCTTAAAGGGGCCGGGCAGTGGGTTTCGCCCCGGGCGGTTCCCCCGGTCCCCTGGGTGCGGTGCCCCCAGTCCCCTGGGAGCTTTAGCTTGAGCTTTCGCTTGAGCTTTAGCTTAGCTTGAGCTTAGCTTGAGCTTAGCTTTAGCCTAGCTTTAGCTTAGCTTCACTCTGACTACTAATGCTGCTTTCCTAGGGGCTCCAACTCCTAGGTAGGGTCGCAATGGGATACTTTGTTTTCATGTTTAAAACAAGGTGCGAGCCCCAGGAAGGGCACTTCAATTGAATGAACATATGTGTTACCATAGGGGGTCAACAACCATTTGTCTTCAGCAGTGCAAGCCCAACACTAACAATCATTACTTAACAGCGAAGACTGATAGGTTTCTAGTGGGCTCAAAAAAGAGCATCGTGACTCCCCACGGGGGTCTGGGCGGATGCCGGGGGAATCTGTGGGAATCCGGGGGTTCCGGGAACTCCCCAGAACACCATTCCCAGGCCACATTTTGAATGCCCGGAGCCAACTGTAGGCCACTTCGTGTTCTTCGTGTTCCCAGAACACCATTCCCAGGCCACATTTTGAGTGTCCGGAGCCAACTGGGCCACTTCGTGTTCTTCGTGTTCCCAGAACACAGATCCTGTACTCTATTCTGATTGCCCGGAGCCAACTGTGGGCCACTTCGTGTCCTTCGTGTTCCCAGAACACAACTTCCAGGCCACATTTTGATTGCCCGGAGCCAGCTGTAGGCCACTTCGTGTTCTTCGTGTTCCCAGAACATCATTCCTGTACCATATTCTGATTGCCCGGAGCCAACTGCGGTCACTTCGTGATCTTCGTGTTCCCAGAACACAAGACCTGTGCCATAGTTTGAATGCCCGAGCTGAGGCAGGCTGAGGCCGAGGCAGGCTGAGGCCGAGGCAGGCTGAGGCTGAGGCTGAGGCACGCCGAGGCAGGCTGAGGCTGAGGCTGAGGCTGAGGCAGGCTGAGGCTGAGGCCGACGCAGGCTGAGGCCGAGGCAGGCTGAGGCTGAGGCTGATGCAGGCTGAGGCTGAGGCAGGCTGAGACGGAGGCTGAGGCAGGCTGAGGCTGAGGCTGAGGCTGATGCAGGCTGAGGCTGAGAGGCTGACGCTGAGGCTGAGGCAGGCTGAGGCTGAGGCTGAGGCCGAGGCAGGCTGAGGCTGAGGCTGAGGCAAGCCGAAGCAGGCTGAGGCTGAGGCTGAAGCTAAGGCAGGCTGAGGCTGAGGCTGAGGCTGTGGCTGCGGCTGAGGCAAGCTGCGGCTGAGGCAGGCTGAGGCTGAGGCTGATGCAGGCTGAGGCTGAGGCAGGCTCACGCTGAGGCTGACGCAGGCTGAGGCTGAGGCTGAGGCCGAGGCAGGCTGAGGCTGAGGCCGAGGCAAGCTGAGGCAGGCTGAGGCTGAGGCTGAGGCTGATGCTGAGGCAGGCTGAGGCTGAGACAGGCTGAGGCTGAGGCTGAGGCAGGCTGAGGCTGAGGCAGGCTGAGGCTGAGGCCGAGGCAGGCTCAGGCCGAGACAGGCTGAGGCTGAGACTGAGGCTGAGGCTGAGGATGAGGCCGAGGCAGGCCGAAGCTGAGACAAGGTGAGGCTGAAGGGGGGGGGAAGGGGGGGGAGGAGGGGAGGCTGAGGCAGGCTGAGGCCGAGGCAGGCTGAGGCCGAGGCAGGCTGAGGCTGAGGCTGAGGCAAGCCAAGGCAGGCTGAGGCTGAGGCTGAGGCTGAGGCTGAGGCTGAGGCTGAGGCTGAGGCTGAGGCAGGCTGAGGCTGAGCCAGGCTGAGGCTGAGGCTGACGCAGGCTGAGGCCGAGGCAGGTTGAGGCTGAGGCTGAGGCAGGCTGAAGCTGAGGCCGAGGCAGGCTGAGGCTGAGGCTGAGGCAAGCCGAGGCAGGCTGAGGCTGAGGCTGACACTGAGGCAGGCTGAGGCATCCGTAGGAATCCATAGGAATCCTTAGTAATCCCTAGGAATCCTTAGGAATCCGTAGGCATCCTTAGGAATCCGTAGGCATAGTTAAGCATCCTCAGGATGCCTTAGGAATCCCTAGGAATCCTTAGGATTCCATTGGATCCTAAGGCCGTTGCCACTGCGACTGTCATTGCGAAGGCGACTGCGACTGCGAGAACAGCAGAATTCTACAACTGGATTCTCACCTGAATCTTAAGGGGAATGCTTCAACATATGCTTATACACATCGCTGTTAGGTTGCTTTGCCGGGATAAGTTTAAACCTGTTCGCTCCGATCTGCCCACGTGCCAATGAATACGTATATCCCAGGCCCTCGGTACCCGCCCTCGTCGTCGTCGATCGTACCCCACCCCTGGGGGCATATCTTCTTTACCTGCAACGTGTATTTCGTGCAGCCCCTAAAAAGCAGGGAAGGTGTGAAGAGGGGCGGAAGGGGGAGGGGGGGAATTATAGGGCACGCTAGAAATGAGCAGTATGGGGGGAAGGAGCAGAAACCAAGTGGTATAACCAGGCGGGCAAACCGGGCGGGTAGACCCTACCAGGCTGGTCGGTAAGGAGGGCCCAGGCGGCCAGGTCGAGCAGGCGGGTTGCTTAAGCGTGCGTCCTGAATGAATGGCGAGGGCGCCTCGAGCGAAGGCTCCATTCCCAAATCAATCGTGAGGGAATCCACAGCGAGAGCGTGACGCCTGAATGTCGAGGGCGCGGCGTTTGAACACGTGGCACGTGTGCCATGGCTCTTGCACAAAAAAAGGGGAAGGTCGGAGGGGTGTGCCGTGCCGGAATAAAACGGGTCGGAGCGGAGGGGCGCGCTGGCTTGTGAGTGGGTGTGTGTGGGGGAGGGGGGGGGCGAAATAGAGGGGTCAGGGCGGGCGGGCGCGCTGGCTGGTGGGTGGGGGGATGCGGAGGAAGCGCGCGGGGAGGGAATGGGCGCAGTGCCGAAATAAAAAAGGTCGCGGGGCGGAGGGGGCGCGCTGGCTGGTGGGTGGGGGGGTGCAGGGGGGGGGGAAGGCGTGCCGACACAAGGCGGTCGGGGCGGAGGGGCGCCCTGGCTGGTGGGTGGGGGGATGCGGAGGGGGTGTGCCGTGCCGAAGTAAAGGGGTCGGGACGGAGGGGTGTGCCGCGCCGAAATACATGTGTCGGGAGGGAGGGACGCGCTGGCTGGTGGGTGGGGGGGTGCGGAGGGGGTGTGCCATGCCGACATGAAAAAGGGTCGGGGCGGAGGGGTGTGCCGTGCCGAAACATCTGGGCCGGGACGGATGGGCGCGCTGGTTGGTGGTGGGGGGGATACGGTGTGTGTGTGCCTTGCCGAAATAAAAAAGGGGTCGGGGCGGAGGGGTGTGCCGCGCAGAAATAAAAAGTGTCGGGGCGGATGAGCGCGCTGGCTGGTGGGCGGGGGGGGATGCGGAGGAGGTGTGCCGTGCCGAAATAAAAGGGGTCGGGGCGGAGGGGTGTGCCGTGCCGAAATAAAAAGCGCTGGCTGGTGGGTGGGGGGGTGCAGGAGGGGGTGCCGTGCCGAAATAAAAGGTTTCGGGGCGGGAGGGCGCGCTGGCTCGAAGGTGGGGGGATGCGGAGGGGGTGTGCCGTGCCGAAATAAAGACGTCTGGGCAGAGAGGCGTGCCGTGCTGAAATACAGGGTCGGGGCGGAGGGCGCGCTGGCTGGTGGGTTGGGGGGGTGCGGATGCGGTGTGCCGTGCCGAAATAAAAATCTCTGGGCGGAGGGGTGTGCCGTGCCGTAATACAAGGGGTCGTGGCGGAGGGGCCGCGCTAGGGGGGGTCCGTGCCGAAATAAAGGGGTCGGGGCGGAGGGGGCGCGCTGTCTGGTGGGTGGGGGGGTGCGGGGGTGGTGTTCCCGCCCAATGAAATACTGCAAACACCTCCTGCGAGGAATTTCAACATATCCCGCCTCGAAAACACATAACCGCGCCTTGCTGCGCCGATACGAGACCGCCAGTGGAACCCCAGCAAAGGGTAAAGCACAAGAAAGTATCGAACGACCGGATTGCCTTGGTGGGGAATGGGGGCTGTCAGCGGTGAGGCAAGGACCTGGCCCTGAATAGAAAGGGAGGAAATCTCGAGCAGGGCTTCTGTTGTTGCTGGGAGCGGCGCCAATGCTGAAGAGAGTTAGGGCGCTAGTCCAGCGTAAAACAATCGAGGTCTCGAGCGGGAACGCTGGTTTTGTCGGTGTCGGGGCGGAGGATTTCGGCGGCGAGGAGGGACACCGCCTTGAGTGAAAAGGGAGGAAGCATCGAGCGGGAGCCGTGGTTCTATCGGGACGGGGGTTGTCGGCGGCGAAGAACAGCACCGCCTTCAGGAAAAAGGAAGCCTCGAGCGGGAGCGTTGTTCTTGCTGGGAGCGGCGCCAATTCAAAAGAGAGTCGGGCGCCATAGAGCCTCAGTTTCAATGAACATGTAGCCGGCGCCTCGGCGAGAGCGCCAGGGCGCCTGTAAGGGGTTATTTAGTAATTAACATTCAACGACAACAGCAGCAGCAGCAGCAGCAGCAGCAGCAGCAGCACCAACACCAACACCAACACCAACAACAACAGCAACAACAGCAACAACAACAACAACAGCAGCAGCAACAACACCAACACCAACACCAACAACACCAACAACAACAACAGCAGCAGCAGCAGCAGCAACAGCAACAGCAACAACAGCAACAACAACAGCAGCAACAACAACAAATAACAAGCAGAGTCCGCGCCGCGGAATCCCACTGCAACCGCGCACCCAGTGAAGGTGTATGACCGATCTGACCCCTATTGCAGCCTCCAGCTCTTCGAGAGAGGGAGAGAGGGGGAGGGCCCGCTGGGACGTGCGGGAGTCTTCCAAGCAACCCGCCTGCTCGCGTCGCTGCCGACTTCCGACCTCGTGTCGAAGCTGCTCGAGCGATCGGCGCTCGAGCGCTCCAGCACGTCCACCGCTGCCGTCGCCTCGACCACGGAGTCCCTCTCCTCTGGGGGGGAACGATGGGGACTGGGACCGGCTCCCCAAACCTCCGACGACGATCGGACTTTTTCAATCCGGGCGCTTTCTCAGATTTCGGCCTCCGCGGGGCAATTGTCGGGCCCTGGGGCTACCAAGCATGGATCCGGGAAGGAAACTGGTCACAGGAAACGGTTCGTGACTTCTGGGGGCACGCATTGTAAAAATCTCATGTCCGGTTTAAGGGGGGATGCATCGAGCTGGAATCGGGGATACATCGCCGACTGTTCGACATCGGCCCCCGGGTAGCGAGTCCGCGTGCTCCAAGACGTGGCTGGGGCCAGCGGCCATTGGGCCGCTCTCGGCGAATGAGTGAGCGATTGGGGGTCGACGGATTCCCCCCCTGAGCCCATCCCCCCTAACAAGAGGAGAAACAAGCTGTCTAACATAAACTTTCGGTGGGCCGCGCGGATTTCTTGGATCTGGGCTCGGCCCCCTCCCTGGCGGGCGGAGCGCGCCAGGGGCGGCGCCCGTGGCGCTACTAGGGAGGCCCAGCGCCGATCCAAGAACTCCGCGCGGACCTCCGCAAGCGTATGTTCACGCAGTGTTTTGTTGTTCGGCGAACGCTGCCCCCGAGCCTCGACCACAGAGTCTCTCTCCTCGTTGGTCGCCCCCGAGTTAGAGCCGCTGCCGCTGCTGCCGCTGGTGGGGGGGTGGTCAAAGGCGGGGGATGGCGCGCGCTGGCGAAAAGGCCGACCCGCCTCTCCACGGGGAGCCCTCCCCCTTACCCCTCCCCTACTGCCCTTCCCCTCGCTCTCATTCGCCTCCTCCTCCTCCTCCTTCTCCTCCTCCTTTTCCTCCTCCTTGTCGTCCACCCGCTGCCCCTTCTCGTCCTCCTCCTCCTGCTACCGTCGTCGTCGTCCTCCTCCTCCTCCTCTTTGCGCGTGTTCCTGCCGTTCGTCCTCCTCGCCCATTTTATAACAATTATAAACACTATCCTTCTCATTCTGCACCTCCTTCCCCTCGTCGTCGTCGTCGTCGTCGTCATCGTCGTCGTCGTCCTCCTCCTCCTCCTCCTCCTCCTCCTCCACTTGACCGCTTCCAGAACGGGGGGGAAGGTTAGCTGCGGCATGCGCGCACCCTTCAATGCCGCAAGGACATCAGGTCTCATCCATGGTCCTCCCCTCTCACATTTACTGAGCCACCATATCCCCAAGAGGAGGAAGGGGAGGAGCCGGGGGCAACGAGGAGGAAGAAGGGCAGGCGAGAAGGGGATAGGGTCAGACACGTAAGACAATCATGCAGGCGAAGGGCCCAACTCTATGCAGCTGCGCGTCGCGCAAGACGTGGCCCTCTCCTCAGATCCAATGCCCCGCAGGATTCATGACATTCTCGTGAAGGGTGTGCCGAACTGCGAGCGGCATGCGGGCGACCCCACAACTGGTGCCGCAAGTGAGGCTCTGGGCGCCCGTGAGAAACTATCCGAGTGGGGGGTGCGCCGAAATTGGCGTGGGCCTGTATGCGAGCCCTCCCGATGAAGCCGTACGAGGAGCTCCCTGTGGGGGCACGATCCGCGTGAGGAGAATGCCGAAATTGGCGGTGGGGGGTGGGCGGATATGAACGCCCTCGCTGGGGCCGGCGGTGGAGCCACCCATCATGTCACGAACCGTCTGAGGGGTGTGCCGAAACAGTCGGTCGTGGGGGGCGCATATGAACGCCCCTATTGAGGCTCCCTATGGGGCCACGAAGCGCCTCAAGATTGTGCCGAAGGTGGTGAAACTCCCTATGGGGCGACGGTCTGGATGAGGGGTGTGCCGAAATGGGTGTGGAGCATGAAAGCGCCCTGGCTGGTGGCGGACATGGAACTCCCTACGGGACGCATGCGGGCGCCCTCACTGGTGCCGCAGGCGGAGCTCTACGATCCGTGCGAGGGGTGCGTGCCGAAACGAGCGGAGACACGCACGCGGGCGTCCTCAATGGTGCTGTTGGTGGGACTCCCCTTCTGAGCACGAAGCGCGTGAGGGGTGCGCCGCAATCGACATGCCTGTCATGGCGGCTCTCGGAACTCGCCATGGGCCACGCCACTAGAGACGCAGCCAAGGGTCCAACGCCGTCCCCCGAGATCTCCGCGAGCATGTTCGTGTATTTTTTCTTCGCCACCCTGCCGCGAGGCATTGAATGTAGTGTCGCTGCATGGACAGAGGTAAGCGTCCTGGTGACAATTCCCCTTATTATCAAAATGGAAGAGGACTGATGTATCAACGGCCCGCGAAGGTCGCGATCCGAGAGCCGCGCGATCCCCTCATACAACAACTTCCCAAGCATGCACGAGAATGCAAACACCCGACATGTGGTGTCCCCACGGACCTTCGTGTTTTCTGTTCCCAATACTGCGGCAGGTCTGACACGGAGCCTGGGCCCCCGAGGTCCAGGATTTCTGGGGGCGCTCTGGCCGCTCTTGTGGGCGCTCCGCATGACTTTCCCAAGGGAGCAGACCATTGAAGCACATTGCCGTTTACGGGTTCTCAGCCCAGCAGGAGGCGGCGCCCGAAATGGCCCCCGGGAGCGAGCACGGTGGCGAGATGGGCCAAAATTCACCAAGTCCGCCGCCCCCTGTGGTTTGCCGCAGGGCTGCGCGGCGTGCCCGATGTTCGCGCGATTTTTCCTAACCCTCCTGCGCTGGATTCTCGTTCTAAATTCAGCACTGCGGTCGCACACTCCTTCTCCCGCCTCCCTCCCGCGTGCGTGCTACCCGGCCTCGTACCTGATTTCTGCCCTGCCCCCTAGTTGCCTGCTACCTTTCCTCCTCGCCGCCGCTGGGCGAACTGCACAACTGTCGCCGCTTTCGGCGGCTGCGGGGGGGTCTAGCGGAAGGACGTCAAACGCATATCATAGCGGGACCTCGCCATCCCTGGGGGGGCTACGATCTGAGAAACTGTCGCCGCTTTCGAAGGCTGCTGGGTGGGCCAGCATAGTGGACACTCGCCGCAGATTCAGATTAGACCTCGCCGTCCCTGGGGGGCTGCGATCTGCGAAACCGTCGCTTCTTTCGAAAGGTGTTGCACGGCCAACATAGTGGGTACCCGCCGCAAGCTCATACTAGACCTCGCCATCCCTGGGGGGCTGTGATCTGCGAAACCGTCGCCACTTGCGGGTGATGTTGGGGGGTCCGGCGCAGTGACGTCATACGCGAACTCAAATCAAACTGTCGCCAGTTTCCACGGCTGCCGGGGGTCCAGCCAGGCGACGCCCTACGCGGACTGAAGTGAGACCTCGCCATCCCCGGGGGTCTGCGATCTGCGAAAATGTCGCCACTCTTGAAGGCTGCCGGGGGCAGAGTGGCGTCATACGCGGGCGCTGCGATCTGCGAAACTGTCGCCGCTTTCGAAGGCTGCTGGGTGGGCCAGCATAGTGGGCACTCGCCGCAGATTCAGATTAGACCTCGCCATCCCTGGGGGGCTGCGATCTGCGAAACCGTCGCGTCCTTCGAAAGGTGTTGCACGACCAACATAGTGGGTACCCGCCGCAAGCTCATACTAGACCTCGCCATCCCTGGGGGGCTGCGATTTGCGAAACCGTCGCCACTTGCAGTTGATGTTGGGGGGTCCGGCGCAGTGACGTCATACGCGAACTCAAATCAAACGTCGTCATCCCTGGGGGGCGGCGGCCTGCGAAACTGTCGCCACTTTCCACGGCTGCCGGGGGTTCACCCAAGCGACGCCCCGCGCGGACCGAAATTCAACCTCGCCGTCCCTGGGGGTCTGCGATCTGCAAAAATGTCGCCACTCTTGAAGGCTGCCGGGGGCAGAGTGGCGTCATACGCGGGCCTAAGCTATACCTCGCCGTCCCCGGGGCGCTGCGATCTGCGAAACTGTCGCCACTTTCGAAGGCTGCGGGGGGGTCCAGCGGAGCGACTTCCACGTCGCCATCCCTTTGTTTGGGGGGGGGCTGCGATCTGCGAAGCAGTCGCCACTTTCGAAGGCTGCTGGGGTCCAAAGAGAATGACTTCACACGCTGACCGAACCTACACATCGCCATCCCTGGGGCGCTGCGATGTGTGAAACTGTCGCCACTTTCATGGGCTGCCGGGGGGCATAGCGGAGTGACGCCATACGCAGACCGACGTTGGACTTCGCCATTCCTGGAGGGTGCGATCTGCGAAAGTGCCTTCACTATCATGGGCAGCTGGGGGTTCCACGGAGTGGCGTCATACGCAGACCTACGCTTTAGCTTGCCATTCCTGGGGGGCTGCGATATGCGAAAAGGACGCCACTTTCGAAGGCTGCTGGGTGGGTCAGCGGACCGACACCCCACGCGGACCGAAATTCGACCTCGCCATTCCTTGGGGGTTGCGATCTGCGAAACCGTCGCCGCTTTCGGGGGCAGCTGGGGGGTCGAGCGGAGCGACGCCCCGCGCGGACCGAAATTCAACCTCGCCGTCCCTTGGGGTCTGCGATCTGCGAAAGTGTCGCCACTATTGAAGGCTGCTGGGGGGTCCAGCGGAGTGGCGTCATACGCAAGCGTAAACTAAACTTCGCCAGTCCTGGGGGGGGCTGCGATCTGTGAAAACGTCGCCACCGTCGAGGGTTGCTGGGGGGCCCGGCCGACTGACGTCCCGCGCGGGCTTAAGAATTAGACATCGCCGGTCCTGGGGGGCTCCGATCAACGAAAATGATGCCACGTTCCACGGCTACTGGGGTGTCCAGCCTAGTGACGTCATAGGTTGACCAACGCTGGACCTCGCTATCCCTGGGGGGCTGCGCCGTGCAAAACTCTCGCTGCTTTCGAGGGCCGCTTGGGTGTCCAGCGGAGTGACGTCCACGGCTTGCCAGGGCGGGATCACGAACGGCGGAGTCATTGTCAACGTTGACGCAAGGATGCGGAGGACCTGGACGCCCCGTGGCTGCATCTCCTACGCGATGCCCCCCCAGTGCGACAGCGGTTGACAACCTGCTGATGATGCGCGATCCCAGCCTAGACCTCCTTGTCCCGCGGGCCCCCCACAGACCTGGCGGCGGGCCTGCGGGCGTTGAGCTCCCACACTGGACAATGCAGGAAGCCGAGAAGCTGCAGGGCGAGCTGGGCCTCGCTCGCTTTCTGCACTAGCTATGAACAGCTGTAACTGTGTAGCGCCGAAGTGACGTGCCGCGTGCAGTGCCGTCTGTCCAGCATGCCAATGGGGAAACAAAACTTCACCCTCCTTTCTCATCCCGCCTCTTTCGTCGTCGTCCCCTTCCCCCTTTCCACCGTCTCCCTGCTGCTGCCTCGCTCGATTCGAGCCCCCTTTTCCATCCTTCGCCTGCCATTCGTTCCCGCGTCCGTTTCTCTGAAAGTCTGGGGCCTCATTCGTCGTTTTTCGATCGCTGCCCTGTGAATGGCGCAACGTGCGCGCAAAATATGTATGTAGCTTTCGTAAGAGTTGACGGCGGTTGTCCATGCATATGTTAGCCATCGCCTCTTGTCATTTGGTGCAGATTGGTTGGATGTGTCGCAAGGTAAGTTTGTACGTTTGGAACCACGAAAAATCGGAGCCCGGTCACCCGGAAAGCATGGGAAATCGCACATCTCATGGGCCCTCCTACACAAGATGGCCCCAGGACGGTCCCTAACACGGCTGAGATAGCCTCCAGGACGGTCAAGATGGCCCCAAGAGAGCCCGAGATGGCCGCGAAATGTTTCCAAGACGAGCCAAGATGCACCCAAGACGGCCGAAGATGACCTCGAGATGGCCCAAGACTCCAAGACTGCCCGAAAGGCCTCCAAGGCGGCCCAAGAGGCCTCCAAGAGGTCCTCCAGGAAGGCCCGAAGAAGCCCAAAGCATAGAGTTCCCTTGGATTGTTCGACGGATTTGAGCATTTGCTCCTTTTTCAACCTTCCGACGGCCCAAGAGGCTCCCAAGATCGCGTAAGGAGCCTCCACGATAGCCCTATTACAGCCCAAGGGGCCCCCAAGACGGCCCCAAGAGGGCCCCAAGACGGCCCCTCCAAGACGCCCAAGATGGCCTCCAGGGCGGCTCTGAAGCGACCGCTCGACGGGCCAGGAACGCCCTCCGACTGCCAAAGACATTCCTAAGGAGCTCCAGAAGCCGCCCAGAGGCCCAAGGAAGCCCGCAAGGGGCCTCCAAGAGGCCCCCAGGAAACTCCTAGGAGGCCCCAAGAATGCCCCAAGAGGCTGCCCAAAGGCCTGCTGCATCTCCTCCTCCTCCTCCTCCTCCTCCTCCTCCTCCTCCTCCTTCTGCTCCTCCTCCTCCTTCTCCTCCTCCTTCTCCTCATCCTCATCCTCCTCCCCACTCCTCCTCCCCACTCCTCCTCCCTCCTCCTCCTCTTCCTCCTCCTCCTCCTCCTCCTCCTCCTCCTCCTCTGTCCTCCTCCTCCTCCTCACCCTCCTCCTTCCTCTCATCCTCTACTTCTGTCTTCCCCCCCACGTGTTCCCCGAAGGCTTTCCAAAACGGCGGGGGCAACGCATAGTCCGACAGCTTGGCCAAGCTCTGGCCGCAACGCCGCATGCGTCTTCGATATGATGCCTACGTGGCAGGGCTTGGTTTCGTAGGAGGACGAGTTGCAACAACAGCAGCTCAAAATCGGTGCCCATAACCCTCCCGGGGTCCAAACGCACCAGTTTTCCGAACTGCGTCGAGCCGTGGCGACGAGGCCCCCCCAGAAGGCCAACTACCGTTGTGCCAGCTGGCCCTCTGAAAATCGGATGTTTGCGTGGCAGGTTTTGCTTGGCAGCAAGGACTCGCAGGCGCACGCGCTCGCGCTTTGGGGCCCTAAACAGTTTGGTGAATGATCATATGGTGACCTCAGAATCCATAAAGACCTGACCGCACGATCTGTCGCCGCACAGTTTTGGGATCTCGGAGGCCCCAGTCGACCGAGGAGCCCTCGGAAAAACGCCCAAGTCATAAAACTTCCAGGTCCGCGACGGTTTCTGGGATCGGCGCTGGCCCACCCTCCCTGGCGAGCGGAGCGCGCCAGGAGCGGCACCAGGGGGGGCAAATCGCAGGTCCAAAAAGTCCGCGCGGAGCCCCGAGCATTTATGCTCATGCAGCTGTCTCGTCTTCGACGGGTACAAGCAAGAGTGGCCCTAGGCAAGAAGGACCTTATGTGCGCGGCTCGCAGATCGTTGCGTGCGGTCCGACAGTGACGGCCTGTGCGCTTGGGTGGCCGCCGAAGCCCGCTCCAGCGAAGGCTCACCCTTACGTGTAGCCGACGCAGGAGCCCCCGACCGTGCGGTGCCACCCCCGCCGAGGCCCCCCCCCGGGCTGAGGAGCTGCTCGGCCTCGGCCAGATGCTCCACGAGGCTGCTCACCGCGCCCGGCGCCATCGGGGCGCTCTTCGGGAGGCCGGCGGGGGCGCGGGCACGACGCGACGGCGGGAGGCGAGGCTGGGTCCCCGCGGAGGGCACCTGCACACCACCGTGCCCTGCCGTGGCCGTCCTGGGCCCTGGCTGCTACGGCCTCGGGCTGCGCACAGTCGGCCCCCCTATGAGGTAGCCCCGGCGGGCCTCAACACGACATCCTCGGTCCTCGACGCCCTAGCGAAGCCTGCCGCGGCGCCCTGGAGCACCCCGGACTTCACTCGGGGGGCCGGTGGAGGTCAGCCGGGACTGTTTCGGGGGTCTGTTTGTGAGCAGCCCAAGGCATCTCCAGCCTGGCCATGGCCGTCCTGGGCCCTGGCCAGGCGCGGTGGAGGTGGTGGCGCACAGGGGTCCTCTGCGCATCGTCGACGAAACCCGAGCCGGCTCTTCCAAGCGGGGCGCGCCCAGGTCGCAGCCCCGGCACCTTGGCGGTCCATGGGAGACGCGGCGGGTTGGAGCCTCATCGGCTGCGGCGGGAGGGGAGGCCCGTCGACCTCGGCGCAGGGGTGCTGCTGTTGGTCGCGCGTGCCCGCGGGAGGACACGCCCAGCGGAAGCGGCATAGTAGACACAGAACACGGTAACATCTTGCTATCAGAAATCTGAGGGCGCGTTTGTCATCGAGCTTTTAGCTTCCCGAGGTGCCCCAGGGGCCATCAGGGAATACAAGATGTCCGTGGGGCACTCGCTGGCAGGCCGACTTCTTACCGAACGTGCCTGCTGTACCCTAGACACGCGAAATTCTGAGGGAAGCGTGCAGCCCTCGGCTCGGTAACTCCAGCTCGTCAAATCCGCAAAAGGAGCGCGTGGGCAGAATAATGCGTAGCCCCGGCGCGGCCCGCAGGCTACCCGAACGCGTTGTGCGCTCGCCCTCGCCGCTGATACAAAAGCGCGTTGATTGCTTCAGAAGCGCTGCCCGCGCAGCTTGGTTTGCAGAGGCGAACTCGAAGTTTGCCACGAGGAGGCTACAATAAGGGACTAGATCCTTTGGGTGTCTCAGCTGCGCTCAGATGCACAAGGAATGCATGAGGAACGCCCCGTCCGAAACCCAAAGCGGATACTGCCCAAAAAGTTCATGTAAACAACTTGCCTGCCAGGAAGCTATGTATCACCTCAAAGCGCATATGAACGCTTCTGGATGATCGGTGGCTCGTGGCCCATGTGGTATCCCGTATGGGATCCAGTATGGTCTCCCGCATGGTTTCCCGCATGGTCTCCCGCATGGTCTCCCGTATGCTCTCCCGTGTGTTCCCACGCGTGTTCCGTATAGTATGTTGGTTCCCTCTACGGCTCAAGCACTCTGATAACGACATGATGCCGCAGGGGGGTGTGGTCTTGACTGAACAGCCGTGTCGGAGCAAGGAAAGGCGACACCACCACCAGCAGCGCGAGAGGGAGGGTCCTCCTGGTAATGTGGTCATCCCCTCTCGCTCGAGACATCACACATCCCCAGCTCGGGGGGGCATCGTGGACCTCCAGTTAGAGGTGACCCCCCTGTTGGTGGTAATGTCGCCGTTCCCTCCTCTGAACGGAAAGTTCGGATCGCAAGAATCGAAGCGTCTGTTGCACTTGTCGGGCCCGATCGCATGACCCCTCGGGCCTTCTGGTCAGTCCAGCCGCGGAGGGACCAACGTGTTACGCGTCCTTCTCATCCCCCTCCTCCTCCTCCTCGTTCTCCTCCTCCTCCTCGTTTTTCCTCCTCCTCCTCCTCCTCCTCCTCCTCCCTCCCTCTCCTCCTCCCTCCTCCTCCCCCCTCCTCCTCCTTGCTCTCTACTTTCCTCCTCCTTTTCCCTCCCTCCCTCCCTCCCTGCCTCCCTTCCTCCGTCCCTCCCTCTCTCCCTCCTCCCTCTTTTCCTCGCGAGCACCCTTGTTCAAGTTGTCAAGTGTGCACGTCATGGAGAAAGCGTGATCCACCGCCGCTTTACTGTGGAAAATTGCCAACCTTTTCCTCCGGAGCCCGGGGGTCGCCCCCCCCCCCTCCGAAATCCCCCTCCGTGCTGGACCCCCCCCCCCCTCTTCCCCCGGCAAAACCCCCCCTCCACTAACCCCTCCCCCCCCCCCTCCCCTTCGAAAACCGGGGGGGGTCACTACTGGTTCGAACCCCTCCCCCCCCCCCTCCGGATCCGGAAAGCCGGCGGGGGGGTCACTACCGGTTCGAACCCCCCCCCTCGAAAACCGAAGGGGGCCACTACCGATGGTTCGACCCCCCCCCCAACGCACCGCCAGCAAACGACTCCTGGTCCCTACCACCGTCCGCATCACATCCCCCCACTGTTGTTCCCAGCGCCACTGTCCTCACCACCACTGTCCCCACTGGTTCCACCACCGTCCCTACTGTCCCCACCAGTGCCCCCACCACTGTCGCACTGTCCCCACTGTCCCCGCCACTGTTCCCACCACGGTTCCACTCTCCCCACTGTCTCCACGGCCCCAACCACTGCCCGACTATCCCCACTGTCCCCACTGTCCCACTGACTCCTCCGCTGTCCCACTGAGCTGTCCCACTGTTCCCACCACTGTCCCCACTGTCCCCACCACTGTCCCCACTGCACCTCTGTCCCATTGTCCCACCGCCGTTCTCGCCACCGCCTTCACCACTGTCCCCACCACCATTGTACCCTCCACTGTCCCACTGTTTCCACCTCATTCCCACTGTCCCCGCACCACTGTCCCCACCACCACCGTCCCCACCACTGTCCACTGTCCCCCCTGTTCCCACCATTGTCCCCAACACTGTCCCCGCCACTACCGTCCCCACCACTGTCCCACTGTCCCACTGTCCCCACCACTGTCCCGCTGTCCCCTCACCACTGCCCCCACCAACACCGTCCCCACCACTGTCCGCACCCCCACTCGGTTTTCGAGAGGGGGGGGGGGGGTTCGAACCGGTAGTGGCCCCGCCCGGTTTTCGAGGGGGGGGGGCTCGAACCGGTAGTGACCCCCCCCCTTTTCATGATGAACGTGGGGGGGCCCGGGGGGAGGGGTTCGAACCGGTAGTGACCCCCCCCGGTTTTCCGGAGGGGGGGGGGGGAGGGTTCGAACCGGCAGTGACCCCCCCCGGTTTTCTGCCAGCAGCGGTAGAACACGCTCTTTCACATCGTGTCAACAACTCTGTAGAACAAACTATACCTTCTTTTTTTGGAACCCGGAATGCGAATCCGAAAAAATATGCGCAAGTATATCCTGTCATACGTCTGTGAGTCATCCCGTCTCGTTCCTTCCGCGCCACCACTTGCATTCCGAAGGCACCGCTTTTGGTAGTATGCCCGCCATCGGCGACAACCTGCACCGCGCCTTTTATCAGCGATACTGGTGACGAACATCTGCTGGAGTAGGTCGGGGGTCAGCGTGCTTCCAGATGTCTCCTCGGCCAACGCATAGTTTGCCTGATACTATGCGCGCGCTTTCCTGTCCCTTGGCCTCCAAACGACAGGGTCCATATAGTCAGCCTTGTCGGACTAGCCAGCGGTGTACAACTTGGCCAGCCCGTTGCGTATGCGACGGGCGCGCGGGTCATACATGGGGTTGTGCACCGCAGGCGTGGCGCTGGCAAAACCTGCCGCCCTTTGGTTGCCCACCGCGAACTCAAGGCCCACGGCTCTGGCACTATAGTCGCAGAACGATATGTCGTGATCCCTTCCACCGGGGGCGGGGCGCCCTCTAGCCTGCAAGTCTCCGTCGCGTCGTTGGCCTTCGCCTCGTTCGGGGCCCCTGCCACCTTGGTGTAAAAGGCTGGCGGCGGTGGGAGCCCACGTGCATGCGCGTGCAACAAAATCCACCCTGGTACGATCCCTATCGGGTCGCGTAGCACACGAATCGAAAATGGATCTCCCGTCCAATCCCGTCGTTTGTGCCATAACATGGACCAATTGTGTATGGTATCCCCCTCGGGTGTGCGTCATATCTTCATGCATCCGTTTCCGGGTGTCCGAACCCTCGCAATTTCCCACAAGGTTGCGTCCTTCTCCAGCCGGATCGTTCCACTGGGGGTTCCGTAATCACGTTCGTGCCACATGTACGCGTGGGAACGCTCCAACGTAACAGCCTGTATCTGCTTGGAGCAACAATGGTTTATCACCGCTCGACCTTACGAGCCGACCTCTGGTCGTACTATATTGCATTCGGTTTTCTGAGGCCCCGCGGACCACGTGCGAACACTCTGCGGAGATGCCGCCGTTCCCACATGACGGTGTTCATGAGTAAGGAGCGGTTCCACTGCGCAACTTGACGCAGAAGAAGCGCCGTCGCGTGGTCGGGTTGCCCACGCACGAAGCTTCAGACTGTCTGGAGCTTGCCGATCAAATGCGGACGCAACTTGCAACGCGACTTGTCGCCTCTCGCACTGCAAGACTGCAACAACGCCTCGTCTGGATGCGTTTCGGAAAGAAACCCTCCCAGCGCAACCATCGAGTCCACAGTGCAGTAGTCGTAGGTGATGTCGTCAACCTCTGCGCTAATCTGGGCCACCGGACAATCCGTGCTCACAGCGGCGATCCCCAAATAATCGCCAGTCCACTGGAAACCACACCAGCCATGCAATATTTCGGACAAGGCCCGAGCCACGCATGTGCATTGATGCGCATATGCTGCCAGCAAGAAACAAGTCCCCACCCAATCGACCGACATGATCGCTATGCCGAGCTCTGGCAAAACAAACCCCAGTCCACGGACAACCCATTCATTTTTCATCCAGTTCGCGGCCTCGTCAAACACGCGCACGACTATATCTGGCTCGCGTCGCCCACCAGTTCAAAGCCTCCGCCATGGGAGAAGTATCGGTTGTAGTGACTCCAAGTGTCCAACGCAACACTTGATGACGAGATGTCCCGTGCCAGTGCCAGAACCTGGCGGGGTTTCGCCCCTGCATCCCGCAACGCCCTTGTCGCATCCACGTGTTCCATCGAGTTAAAGGCGGCACGTACTTCCTGAGCACCCAGCATCAGTTCTCGACCCCACGTAAATGAGAGACACACCGCCTCGAACAACAAACCGAAGCAATCCCCGACTGATGATCGCTTTTGCGCCCAAAGCTGGCAGCTGTAGGCAGGAGCAAGAACGTCTTAGCACTGTAGACGGTTGCGGAATATTGTTTACTGAATTGGTCCATCATCCCCAACCATCGTTAGCAAGATAAGTTGTGTGGGTGTGACGTTTGGCGATGCCGAACATCTCAAAATTGCTCCACGCGTCTATGTCTGGAAGCTGTCAATCAATGTCCCGAACGCGTTCAATGAAATGCTCGTGAACTTTGACTCCCCAACAATGCGGCACATGCAACCGCACGATGCCCGGCACCTGGTCTCGCCCCGGCGCACCGGCTCGACAGTAAGATCAATTGAACATTTCTGATATGAGTCTGCAATGAACTTGGTCATAGCAATTTTATCTAGCGTTTCCTTCCACATGTCTCTGCTCGCAAAACCCCCTTCTATATGTAGTACAACTGGCGGGGATGCATCCAACACTCTGTC